TGCTCAGTGTACGTAAACTTCAGTACAACCATAAGCTGAACACTGCACAGTCATTAACAGGAAGCTGGCAAAGGTGTTTTAAGTAAGTGCGAAAAAAACCGTATGTGATTTTAGTTAAGAAAAAGCAGAGTGCAAAATTTAAAGTTTAAGGGGGGTGCTAAAGACTAAAAGGAGGAAAACACAAAAAAGTCAAAGTGATTTCATCCATGAGAGGAGGATTTTGAGTGTTAGTTTTTCATCCTCTTGAAACCTTTTTTGCATTTTCCACAAATGAAACATACCTTTTCCCTTTTCCCTTTTCTTCTGATTATAAATGTAACACAGGCTCTCTATAACAAATTCGAGCATTACAGAAACAGAAAGTCCCTCTATGATCCCACCACCCAGAGGTAATTACTCCCCAAAGGTAACTAGTAATAATGTTTGGCTCCCATTCTTCCAGATGTTTTCCAACAAACATTCTTTTAGAATCAAATAATTTCTTTAAAAACCAATCCATATGATTCCATATATAGAAAATGTCCAGAAAGAAGAAAGAGTAGTGGTTGCAAGGGATGGAAAAAATGCTGTTAGATGGGACTACGGAGATAGCTCCGCAACTCTGTAAATTTACTCCAAAATTTACAAAAGGGAATCATACACTTAAAACCAGGGAATGTTATGACATGTAAATTATACCTCTATAAAGCACTGAAACACAACAGTGCCGGGACTGGAGGCACTAACAGTGCTGGGCGGCTCAGAGGATGGGGGAGGCAGCCCTGGCCTCTGGCCCTACTTCTCAAGAGCACATGATAAGACCATGTGGTAGGAAAAGACGAAGCTAGTGGCCCCACAGGAATCACTGGACATGGAGAAACCATCAGATAAGGGGGAGGAGGGGCAATTCCAATGGATACAGGACACAGGAAAGCACTGGCCAGGCTTGCCTCAAAGATATATGGTAGAGACAGAGCACTGGCCAGGTGCCCAAACACCTTACAAACCTCAGGATGCCCTGTGGGCAGGAAAACCTAGAATGAGGCTCCCATTCAACAGAAACTTTAAAGCCACCAGTGGCAAGATGTTACTCCCTGGTGGTCCTCAAAGGTGAAAAGAAATAGGCCAGAACTAAAATGAACATATGACAATCAGCCATCGGGAAGATAAGGGGAATGGATTAGGTATTACAGAAAAAGCACAATGACTATAGAACAGAAAAGCAGTCTGGATGCCTGTAACAGTGTAAATGGATACAATTATTAGAAATTAGTTGGCAATTGTGTATCAGAAGCTTTTAAGTGTTCATACCCTTCTAGGACTCTAAAGAAATCACTCAAGCCCTGGCCAGTGTAGCTCAGTTGGTTGGGCATCATCACCTGCACCCAAAGGTTGCCAGTCAGGGCACACGCCCAGGATGCAGGCTTGATCCCCCAGTAGGGGGCGTGCAGGAGGCAGCTGATCGATGTTTTGCTCTCACAGCGATGTTTCTCTCCCCCCTCCCTTCCCCTCTCTCTAAAAATCAATAAAAAAGAAATATCGGGTGAGGAATTAAAAAAAAGAAAAAGAAATATGCTGATGAATTTAAAACTTAGCCTAAACAGAGGCACTGAGCAGCAGTCCTAATCCTTGAGGGAACCCAGTATCACCCAGAAGGAAGCTGGAACCACAGACTTGTTTATGCCTCCCTAAGAGTAGTTTCTGGATGCAGCAATCCAGCTAAATGATCTGTAGCTAGCAGATTAACTTAACAAACATGCCCCAGGGATGGCACCCCTATTTCAGGGTCAGAGCAGTCCAGCCAGCGTTAAGCTGAGAACTGGTGGAGGAGGGCGCACAGCTAACTGGTTCACATGCCCTCTGCTCTGTTTAGTGGCCTCAACCAGAATGCTGTGCCACTTATAAGCTGATGCCACCTAAGCTATTTGCATCTAATTATAGCTGAAGTAGAACGTTTATTTTATGTTTAAGAATTAGGCCCTAGCCGGTTTGGCTCACTGGATAGAGCGTTGGCCTGGGGACTGAAGAGTCCTGGGTTCGATTCCGGTCAAGGGCATGTACCTTGGTTGCAGGCACATCGCCAGTAGAGGGTGTGCAGGAGGCAGCTGATCGATGCTTCTCTCTCATCGATGTTTCTAACTCTCTATCCCTCTCCCTTCCTCTCTGTAAAAAAAAAAAAAAATCAATAAAATATATTTTTTTAAAAAGAATTAGAACAGAGTGATATTAGCTCTCTAATTATGACGCTCACACCTGCATTCTAATAAGCTTTGTTCAATGTAGGAAGGGTGAAGAGAAGACAGAGATAACACAGAGGGAGCTGTGCAAACTCCTTTGCCATGGAGTGGATGGGGCGCATGAGTGCCTCCCAGGCATTGATTTGGGGGTAAGGGGGACAGTGCAGGGCATACAGAGCCAACTTTTTGGAGGGCTAGCAAACAGTCAACCTATCAGCCAATCAAATAAGTGTTAAGGGGCCGAAGCTGGTTTGGCTCGGTGGACAGAGCGTTGGCCTGCGGGTTGAAGGGTCCCGGGTTCGATTCCGGTCAGGGGCATGTACCTTGGTTGCGGGCACATCCCCAGTGGGGGGCATGCAGGAGGCAGCTGATCGATGTTTCTCTTTCATCGATGTTTCTAACTCTCTATCCCTCTCCCTTCCTCTCTGTAAAAAATCAATAAAAATATATTAAAAAAAAATAAAAAAATAAGTGTTAAGGGGAAGGGCCATGGTCCATAGAGATGGGAAGCCAAAAATCATCTCCAAGGAATCAAATGTAAGACGGAGGCAGAGCCTGCTTACACGGCAGGCAGGCAGTGGGCAACTAGTATGGAATGGAACGCTGGGGCAGCTCCAAAGGCTAAAAGTAAATACCCAGAATGTCGATGTTTTCTCCTGGCACTTTCCATCTATGAGAGGGCTTTTCCTTTCCAAAGGAGAACTTTTACTCTTGGTTGTAAATCAATCTGAATGGGCTATCTACTCCCTTCTCTCTCCCACTCTCTTGGGTAGTTGATTCATATTTTTCTACTTTTTTTGCCAAGTTGAAGAGTGTTTAGAGACTGAAATGAATACATTACTTCACTTCAGCGACCTCCTTAATCTACAAAGCCCAGAGGTAAACACTCCCAAACTCTGCACTCTCTGAACCCCAATCAAAACCTGGTGGCAGCTGGGATAATTTGGACCAAAGAAAGACAGTGTTTTGCCACCTCTTACCTAGGATAATTTTACTCCCTAATTTGCAATAAGTTGTCACTTAGCTAAGGTATTGGTGGTGGTGGGTGGGGACTGTTTTCGGTGTCTGTCCGTTTAATTACTGACCTTGCTCACATCCATAATCCTCTCCTAACATGTGCCATGTGGATCCCGCTAACTTTGCTCCATACTTTCCCTACCATCTCCCTTCATCATGACAGTTAAAATTTCCACTCTGATGGCCCCTTAACCACCTGTTGCTCCTCTTCTTCGTCAGATCTGACTTGCATGTCACCTCCCTAGGTTCTGGGATCACCTCTTTTCGGATGGCCATGGCCTGAGTGGGAAACCTTGTACCCTGGAACTATGTGGACACCGGAGGAGATGACAGGTAAAGGCTGGAGATGACATGATGCTGGGACGCTGCTCCAGACTGCCCAGTGCCCCCTCCTGACTTCTCCCATCTGGCTTCCATCTGACCGGAGCAGCTGGCCAGGTGGTTTTCATTTGCAGATGAAACCCCAGCAGCTCCATGGTCACAAACCTCCTGACCCTATAGTCGATGCCAGACCGACAGGCACAAAGTGCACTTGTATCACTGAGTAGGACTGAAAGGCCACACTTTACAAAGCCAAAACCAGGGGTAAAAGAACAAAGTGGGGTCTTGATGCTTGAAGAGCTGACGACAGCCAAGAAAAAGAAATGCAATGGTCTGACAAGGGAGTGGATTCCTACATGTTCTGCAATGTCTCACACTGAAGATGCCAGCATATTGGACCTTATTTTCAAGCTGCTCGTTAGCACATTCAAGACAATGAATGAATAGGCAGGTTGTCAATGTGAATTATGAAATGTCTATGCAATGTAATGTCACGAAACATCTAAGATCAGTTTTATAAAGAAAATAATAATAATATACAAAAATGGTGATTATGATTATAATAAACTAGGAGCCCAGCATTCGAGATCGCACAAGACCCAGGACCCAGACTCCCGCGGCCCGGCGGGACCCAGAAAGAGTCCCACGGCCGCCACTGCCGCAGGAGGTGATACACAGAAACCCGCCTGCTGCCCCAGCGGGACCCAGAAACCCACCCGCGCCTCCCGTCAAGTCCCGGCCCACCCACGTGTGCCTCGCTGCACACTCAGTCCCGCCCACACCGCGCACACAGCCTCCTGCTGATCGGTCATTACAGTGTGATGGCGTGACGACCACAGGCTTTTTATATAATAGTTATGCCGACAAAGGGTTTTCTGTGTGCCAGACACTGCTCTAAGTGCTCTACATATATGACCTCATTCAATCCTCATAACATGCCTACAAGCTAGATGAGAGGACTGAGATACAGAGAGGTTAAGGAACTTAGCAAAGATCACAAAGTTAGTAAGTGATAGAGCTGGAGTATGGACCCAGAGCCATGTTTTTAGATACCATGCAATATTGTCACCCACAATATAATAATCAATGTAATATAACATAGCAACATAACATATATATAACAGTATCTATGTATTCATCTGCCATAAAATTAAATTATAATCATAAAAGGCCAGAGAGAAATACTCCAACATAACGAATGTTTTGTCTTAAGTAGTGGGATTAAGGTAATTATTTCTTTTTATACTTTGCTAATTTTCTACAATTTACAAAATCAGAAAGGGACCATGGCTATTATCACTTTCAAGTCCTTAGAGAAAGATAGTGAGTGTGTTGGAACTAGGGATTCCCAAAAATTGGTCCCTGACAGTTATAATGAAACTTTCACACAAGTTACTTAAATCCCACCACCACCACCACCACCACCACACGTTTCTTATCCTGTGAAATGGGAATAACGCTGCCTAAACTCAGAGATGTGTTAGGATGAAATGAGAGCAGAGGTAGAGCTCCTGGCACAAAATCTGGAATCAAAACAATGACATAAAAAAACAACAACAACAACAACGACATCTTTCCTGGGGCCCCAGACATTATTCACAATAACAACAGCTACTACTGTTTGATGCCCACCCTACCTGGCATGTAACACACAGAGCAAGCTCTTTCTAACTCCCTGGCGGGCAAAAGGAAGAAAAGAGGTTCAGGAGCTTGTCCAGGGCCATGGTGCCTGGAAGAGGCTGGCTGGAGATTCAAATCAAGTTTCCCAATTCCAGGGCCCACACTCCTTCCTCATCAAGGCCTCACTTACAGACCAAGTTCCAGGTGAAGGCGGTACCACCACCATGTTGGGGCTTCCTAGCACCACCGTCTTCCTCTTTCTGACCACTCCCTTCCTTTTCAACTATTTCAGATTCCTCCGGGTTCAGGGAGAAGGGAGCACAGCATGCCTCACAGTGAAATGATTACAATGTAGGTCTCAGTATCTTTGTTCACACTACAAACCTGATCCACCTGGTTCAATTATCCCCCAACTGCCCTTAACTCAGCCTAAGTTCACAGACAAATGGATGCTGATAGTCTTGGGAGCAAGCTTCAGCCCTCCCCTCCTAAAGCCAGACATAGGAGCAGTCTATTTTCCAATACTAAATTCAAGAGAAAAGACTGTTTGCCATCTTGGTATATCTGATTCTAGGTGGGAGAGTGGTAAGGTAGTCTTTTTCAAGTTGTCCCAACAGCACAAAAAGCCCAACCTCAGGAGGCTCAGCTGGGTAAGCGATGGCATTGCTGTGGCTTCCGGGCTGGACCGGTGGAGAATAAGTGTCCATTTGCAACACTGGGCACTGGAGCGCTTTAAAAGGGGCCTTTCTCAGAGGCCGACAGTAAGCCATCTCGAAGCAGAACCAAGCTTTGACAATGCATCCTGACTCACGGGCAGAGGTGGGCCCTGCTTTAAGAGACCAAACGTAGTCCCTCCCCAACCTCCCAAACAGACTTCCTGCAAGGGTTAAGCAGAAGAATGTTTTACTTTTTAAAATTTTTAATCAAGTTCATCATATGGTCCTTTAGGGTGTAGACCTGATGTACAAAATGTCCACTTTACTTACTATACACTTCAGCAGTGTTTCTAGAGTCTAAAAGCAAAGTCTACCTCAACTGGGCCCATCTTGAAACAGGAGGAGGAGTACTTGGAAATAATCAAGGTTCACCCCATCATTTCACAAACAAGAAAACTGAATCCAGAAAAAAAGAAGTTTGCACAAGAACCCTTGGAAGCTAAGGACCATAAAAATGATCCTTTTACACATTTGCAACGTCAGCTGACATTTAGCCTTGTGTTGGAAAATCTTTTATTTCTGAAGGATAAAGGGGCAGGGGAGGAAAAGTATCTAAAATGCAGACACCACATTTGTTTTGGAAAAGACCAGTCCAGAGTGCACAAAAGGTCATGAAAAACCCCAATGACACCACCACCAATGTTTGTCTTTGGAATAATAGAAAGGGATGTTTATTATTTGTAAGAATTATCTCTGCTATTACATGACTCATTCCTGCATGCTAGGACTGCTCTCATCTAGTGCCAAGAAATGAATGCTAAATTAGAAAGTTTGCAAGTTATCATTGCCCGGTAAGTGCCACACTGCAGAGCAAACGTATATGCACCAAATCAGCCCTGCAGAGGGACTGTCACTGTCCCTCTCACTATTACCAGCTGTTCCTATTTTACTGAAGACCCTGACGACATGTTAATGCCAGAACTCATCAACCTCAGCAGTTTAATTGCTCAGAAACACCCACAGAGTTAGCATGAGTTCCCAGGGGTCCTGGCACAAGGAAGGGGAGTGGTGGGGGGCAGAGGACAGAAACAGGAGAGGAACAAGGAAAGAAAGACAATGGTTGAGAGAAAAAGAACTTGATGCCACACAAGGAGCCTTTCAGGGTGCAAGTGCACAACCCTATAACTGGCAAAACAGGAAAGTTTTCTTGATTCCTACTATGTGGTAGAAAGGAGGGGAGCATATAATGGCAGATAAAATAATACTAATACCACCCTACATGTGTGCAGCGCCTCCTCAGACAGAGGGTAGGTGGATAATACCATTCCTTCTTTCCAGAAGAGGGAGCAGAGGCTCCGGAGGTCAGTGTCCCAGTGTGTAGACAAGGCTGGGACTATTCGGTGAGCACACTTCTGCCCAGGGCAGTATTGCTTCCACTTCTCTGATGACTCAAGTACCTAGGCCTCAACATACCCAAAACCAACCTCAGGGTTTTCTCCCACCAAAACCTATCAAGAACATGTAGATAATAGCTAATATTTACTAAGCATTTACTATGTGCCAGTAATGATGCTATGAAGCAATTAAAAATGTAATTTTTTTTTTTTGAGCGCTTTCCGACTTTATTGAACAGCAGCGTCCCCACGTGCAGTCCCCCCAAGTCCCCGGGAGCTATGCTTCTGCCGCTTCCAGAAGCGCTTGACGTCGCGGTGCCCCGCAGGCATCACCACCATGAGCCGCTTGGCCGCGTTCTTGAACACCAGCACGCCCAACTCCCGCACGTGGGCCAGCAGCAGCTCAAAGTCCACTTGCGACAGGAACTGGTTATACAGGACGCCCTTGGTGAAGCGGAGTCTGTCCCTTTCCAGCTCCCACAGCCGAATCTGGTCTGTGATGGTGGGCGGCAGCACAGGTGTCTGTTTAAGCATCACTGGGTGGGCCCTTGTCCTTAGGAAATGGATGATCTGCTGGGCTGTAATGCCGCTGGCGATGGCCTGCTGCACGCTCTCCCGGGTGACCTGCGCCACCACCATGTTGGGGAAGCGATAGAGCATCTCAGAGAAGAGGGCAATGAGGGCGATCTGCAGCTCCGACTCTGTGTAGGCGTACAGCTGGTAATTGGTTTCCACGACAATGAAGCCTGGCTGATGCGCAGTGCCCCCCGCCCCAGAAACACCCGATAAGAGATTGATGGCCAGGCGCGTGGGGTAGTACCGCCGAGACTTCCTCTTCCTCTGGAAAACAAGCCCAAACTCACGCAGATGCTGCAGGAAGTTCAACAGAGAATCACTCATACCTTCCACAGAGTAATCCTTGCCCAGAGTAGAGAAGCTGAGCTGGAAGAGGAAGGAGAGGATCTCCACTAGGTCCATCCCCCGACTCTGGGCCGTCTGCAGGTGCTGCAGCATGAAGTACCAGAGCTGAGCGGGGGTGTCCAGCAACAGGAACTGGAAGCCAGCAGAGGTGATGCAGGGCGGCTCTCCAGGCTCAGCACTCTTCATAAGCCCCGCCTGGCTGAGGAGCTGAGCCAAGTCCTGGCTGACGGCTGCACTGGGGGAGCCCACCATGAAGTGCAGGACCACCTCCCATCTCTCCGCTCCTCGGCGTACTTATCCAGTGCGGGGACATCCCGGGCATGCTTGTCTGGTCCCAGCTGACGTGTGTCATCAGACCAGGCCTTGCCCCCACCCAGAAGCGCAGTGCGGAGGTTCTGGCAGAAGATGGGGTTGAGGATGAGGCCCTGGAGACCACCAGGAAGCAGCTGCGTGTGCCAGATCTGGAGGCCACTCAGCAACCCTGTACTTTCCTCCTGAGCTTTGCTGAATTCCTTCTTCACCCACAGGGCCACAGCAGCTTGTGGCAAAGGCTGCTCCAGAAAGAGCATCCGCATCACCCAGTTCTTAGCCAACGACAGGAGCTCCCTGAAGACAGCCAGACAGGTGGCAGGATGCCCGTAGAGTCGGTCCAGTACCCCAGGGCTCAGGCCCCCAAGGAACTCCTGCAGATTCCTGCATTGTAGGTGTGCTCGGTTCAGTCCACCCCTCGACGGGGTGCTCTCCATTGTTGGGGTCCAACCCCAGCAGGTCCAGGGGTTCCCAAAGGTGTAGACAGAGTCGGCGAAGAAGGAATGACACGGAGGCAGCCTAGCCAGGTTCTCCAGCCAGGTTCTGTCTTTTATTGTCTTGTTACATCTGTATTTATACCAGTTGATTTTAATCCTGTCAATTTCTATTCCAAAGGTTAGGGCGTTTCTCATCTCCATTCCAGGGAGTAAAGATTATGTAGCTTAAGGGTGATTGTTCGTAGTTAAAGAGATTAACTACCCGCCTAGCATTTAGTTAAGGGGTTTTATTTCCTCCCTAACTTCAGGGAAAAATCCCTACCTGGGGAAACAACCTTTCTCGGAGAGGTGACCTTGGTTAAAACACATAGCGCCAAGAAGGTGCGCAAACATATTAAGAACAGTATGCCATATATACCAGGTCCCTTGAAACATATACTGTGCAGATGTTTCTTCCCTGCAGCGACTGTGTCAAGCAGCAAGGATGGACCAGCTTCCGGCACTCCATCACCACTCTGTCGACCCCAACTCGTGTACGTCGCTTAATCGGAGTCAATGTCTCGCACTGGCTCCAGGAAATAGGGGAAAGGACGGTTAAAAATTAGAGAAAAGAGTAGGGAGAGCGACAAAGGCTTTCACAGACAGGGGTCCCGAGTGGAGGATGTAAAAAAATCTAAAGATATATTTTTATTGATTTCATAGAGGAAGGGAGAGGGAGAGATAGAAATGTCAATGATGAGAATCATCCATCGGTTGCCTCCTGTATGTCCCCTCCCCTTCCCCCGAGACTGAGCCCACAATCGGGCATGTGCTCTGACAGGGAATCGAACTGTGAGTTCCTGGTTCATAGGTCGACACTCAACCACTGAGCCACACTGGTGGGGCAACTATGAAGCATTTTAATTCATGATTTTTTTATTTCACTAAATTGAAATTTCTCCATTTCTGCCCATTTCTCCATTCTTATTCCCCACCCTGATCTTTGATCCCACAGTCTTGTTTCGGCAACTTCTTATCACTAACCTCCCTGCCACAGGGTTTTGCACATGCTGTTCCTCTGCCAGGGTTGCTATTCCCTTAGCTCAAGCCTAGCCCTTCCTATGGTGAATCCCCTATTCTGGCCTCTGTGGCAGCATACCTCCCCCTGGGAACCATGGCTATCTATGTAGTGTTTATCTCCTGCAGGCTCCAGGAGAGAAAGAGTGATGTGCTTCTTGGTCACCTCTGTATCACCAGGGTCTGGCACAGTGTTTAAGTCATGGTCAGGGAATAACTATCCATGGAACAAATCGATAAGAAGAAAAGGGGCTGCAAGCTGGCTCCTGGTCCTGGGTGGGCCTTCATGAACAGCAAGGATAGTACAGGCCTAGCGGAGGTGTGGGAAGAGCACTGGAAGTGGAGTCAGCACATCTAAATCGGATGCCTGATGGTGACTATTCCTGTGGGTGAGCATCACTCAACCACAGACAAACCCCAGGCACCTTCTGGCTGGACCTACAAGTCCTATGAGTGAATACACCCCACTTCTGTCCACTTCCATTACACCACCCTCTCTTATTGGGTGTCCTAACTACTCCCTGCTGCCTCTACCCTAGCCTCTCACAATCCTTGACCTGCATAGCAGTTGGAATAATCTTTTTTTAAAGTAAGATCACAGTATTCCCCCACTTAAAACCCTTATGGCTTCTTGTTACCACAAGAACAAACCTGGTGCACAGGCGTGATCTGGCCCTGCCAACACGGTGCCTCATCACTAGCAGACCTTTCTCCCTTCTCCTCCACGTGAGGGCCTGGCACCAGCTGTCCCCTCCTCACATGTCCCTGTGCTGGCTCCCTCAGCAGTCTCATCTCACCTGGAAGGCCCCATCCCTGGAACCTTCCCCTCCTCTCAGGTCCTGGCACATCGCCCTGCTTTGTTTCTTCATAGCGCTTATTACTGGAAATGCTGTTTTGTTTATGATCTGTCTCATCCCAAGAAAGCAGGGACTTCGTGTCATTCACCATATGGGTGAATATTTGCTGAATCAATGCCTCTTACAGTGTTAATAGCAAACAATTACCGAGCCCCTCCTGGGAACCAGGCAGCTAAAGAAGCACATGAGATGCATTAACTCATCCCCTAAACAAGCTTATCCCTATCTTACAGATGAGGAAAGTGAGAAACAAAGGACAACAGGACATGAGGACTCAAATGCAGGCAGCCAGCTCCAACATCTGCACTGCTGACCAAGAGGTGTGCTACTGTTCGCTGCTTTGCTGAATTACAGATTTGTCTCCCACCGTAGACAGGGATTCCTGGAGAGCAGGCACCATATTTCGTGGCACTGGTTTCGCCAGGGTCAGTCAGGCTCTCAAAGGAGGTGCTAGATAAAAGCTTAGAAGTGAAGGAAGGAATCAGGGAAGCCCTGGCGAGACAAGTTATATAAAATACAGGCAAAACTGGCGACCCCTCTTTGTGTGTTTGCAATTCATATCCGCACTCCCAGGGTGGGATGGGGACTGAAGTACTGGCCACATAAGGTACCTACTCCCACAGAGCACATCTGTCCAATAAGGTCACTCACCTACTTCACCCTAGAATAGCTACACCGTCATTTTTTAAAAAACTCTTTTCCACAGGAGGTTAAGCAAATGACATTTGGAGGGGGATTCCTGCTGCTTTTATTTTAGAAAGTTATATCCAATCTTACAAGATTTATACACAATCTTCCTTCAATCCCTCCAACCTTGTGAGGTTCACCTGATCGTCCCAGCTGATGAGCAGGCCCAGTGATTTGCAGGAACTTGTCCAAGGCAGCTATGCGGGAACGTCAGGCCGTGTGACTGCAAACTTGCACTTTTTACCACAACGGCAAAAGCTTCAATAATGCACTTCAGAAAGTCGTCCCAATATTCTCCAAATGCCTTAAAAGTACTCACTCAAGGAGTGGAGCTTAGAGGCTGGAGGCAAAGGCAGAACCATTCTGGGGGAAAGTACCATTCTTCACAGTGATTTTTTTTTAAAGTGCCCACCACCGCTTAAAGCTCCTCTGACAAGAAACTGCAGACATCAGCAGAAGCCATAGAGAAAAAGATAAACTCTTCGTAAAGGGAAGGAGGAGTGGCTGAGTGGGTGGGTTCAAATGTGAATTCACGGAACCTTACTGAAAAGAGGAAGCCAAACTGCAGACCAAGCAGCCAGGAAGCAGAGGGCCCAGAGGGGCTGACAGCTCCCAGCCTTGCAGGCCATTTACAGGGTCTGGTCCAGAGGAAGGAGCAGGCGGGCTCCCCCGACTGAGGACAGATGGATGCAATTTACGCCTCCTGTCCAGGGGCCCGGTGAAGAGGAAACAAAGGTGAGCATCTAAGAAATATGAAAAGCCATATTTGTGCTGAGTACATGGTAACGAGAGTGGAGTGTGGTAACGAAAGCATTCAACACCGGCAACTGCTAATCAGGGTGTCTGGGATCCCCAAGGGCTCCGCCCACTAAAGACTTGGGGATAGTCTATTTCCATTTCTATTTTTTAACTCAATAAATAAACTTTATTCACTAAAAGAGGCCAATCTGAGAGGACTTCTTTGTGCCACCCAATGGGTCTGCCCAACAGGTAATGGAGTCCAGACAAGCAGGAAACCCTCGCTGATCCCCACATTATGGTTCAGGACAGTTAGTCTTCGACTCCCTGGTTTAACTGACGCTGTAATACATGATGGTTCAGGACAAGTAGGACACCCACAACTCTGCCATACCCTGGGTCTGTTTGGCCTGGCCAGTTCATCAGACCATGGATTTGCCCCGGTGGGCCTTGGCATTTGCCTGTTCTACAAAAGTCACTGAGGAGCTAAGGAGAGAAAAGAGCCCGAAAGCCAAATGTGCTGCTCATCTTAAATCCTTCCAAAAGGGCTGGCACACTCACAGGTTCTCGTGATGGTCACGTCTAGCACCACAAAGGCTACCACATTCTTTCTTTCTTCTCAAGCCATGAAGACATCACAGTCTCTGAGCAAATTACATATATGAGAAGACCAATTTCCTGTATCTTATAGGTTTTTATATGCAAGGCTCATCATTTTTTTAAGGCTCCTAATCTTTTTTTTTTTTTTAATATATTTTATTGATTTTTTACAGAGAGGAAGGGAGAAAGATACAGAGTTAGAAACATCGATGAGAGAGAAACATCGATCAGCTGCCTCCTGCACACCCCCTACTGGAGATGTGCCTGCAACCAAGGTACATGCCCTTGACCAGAATCGAACCCGGGACCCTTCAGTCCGAAGGCCGACGCTCTATCCACTGAGCCAAACTGGTTACGGCAAGGCTCCTAATCTTAAGGCAACCAACAATCTGCTGCTATAGTAAATGAAATGAGTTGAAAAGAGAAGAAAAAGCTCTAAGACATAAAAAAAAAAAAAAAAGAAATACAAAAATAATCTCTGAATACTCCTAAAACCTCTCAAAAGAAGGTCAGCTGCAAATCCAAGGCAGGATCAGGTATTCTATAGGAAAAACACACACATACACAGACACACACACACACACACACACAAAACCCCACACAAGATAGCTCTCCAGTTTCACACAGAGGCTGGCATACAGTAAGATTTTTCCAAGATCCCAGGCTCGAGTTCCCTTAAACGTTCATAAATAAATGGCCTTAGGTGGAATGCAGAACCACCCAGAAAGAGGGACTCTAGCTCACGGTCCAGCCTGTCTTTATTCATCAGCCCATCTAATCACAACATCCTCAAACCTTGGGTATTTCACTAGGCTGCACCCTGGCCTCCTTGGGAAGGAGGAACAGGGCAGCCTAGGACAAGAACTGCTCAAACCACAGGAACAAAAACCGCAACCCAAGACCACTAACCATTTAAAGGGAGAAGGAATGGGAGTGCTTAGCCTGAAACTCGACTTCAGTGAGAGGTGCAATTGTACAGGTCATCTTTGTTCCTCTGGGTCACAAGATGGTTTAAGAGGCACTAACAAGGGCCATTATACTCACCTTAAAGTACTCCTGAGGATTTTCATCCAGGAAATGGAATAATGACCAGCATTCCATGCTATTACTTAGAGATTAGCTCAATCAGTGGGGGGAGGAGGGAGGGGCAGCTTAAAGGGTACATTTAACCCCAGAAAGGCAGGA